GAGGGGACTGTTGGCTATCTGAGTATTTAGGCAAGGTAGCCAGTCCATGTCAGGGCAACTCCTTAATGTATTATTAGTGAAATAATACAAAAAAGAAATAAATAAAAAAAAAAACTTCTTAACTGCTTTGGTTTTGTACATCACATAATTCATCATACACTTGCCTGAGGTTAGAGATTATAATTTGAATCACATATGTCAGAGTCAAGGCCTGCGGGCCGGATCTGGCCCGCGAGAAGGTTTTTTACGGCCCCTGGGATGATTTTGATTTATTATTAGAACCGGCCCGCAGACCGCAGCAAGCTGGCAGCCTGCAGATCTTTTACACGCACTAATACTACATTTCCAACAATGCAACGGTGACGCACCAAGCAGTAGGCTGCTTCATTTCAGTGTTTATTAGCACAGCAGTCGTCAGCATAACTGTAAAATTAACTTTCAGATACCCATCAAAAATGCTCAGCTCAGAGCCTTACCCCCAACATTGATGAACTTGTGGAAAAGATGGGACACCACTAAGTATCACCCTCAACCTCAAACAAGTGAACATTACTGTGCAATCACATATTTAGAGTTTTTACTCAGTTCACATTTTAAAGTTAAAGTTTAATATTTGTTTTCACGGCATGTTACTTCTCCTTGAGCAAAAGTTGTTTTTGATTAATAGATTTTTGCACTTTATTTTATTGTATTTCAATCCAGTTATATTTTAAAAATATTTCAGTTGAGTGGATGATAGAAATTTGCTATTATTTTTTTCTTTGAAGTAAATTCAGCCCACTTTTGCTAAAATAGAAAATATAGGCTACTGATGGTGCCTTGAATAATACAGGTTTCTTTCATTTAATGTTCATGTTATGGGGATTTTTATATAAAGGAAATTTGTCTTTTGTGTCTGTTGAAAATTAAAGATTACTGACAGAGCCATAAGAAAATATTGCTTTATTTATCTGATCATATTGCAATATATTTGTTAGGTTTGCAGTAGGTTCAATTAGGTTCACTAGACTATATGCGTCATTTAAATTTTTTTAAATGAACATTCGATCAGTCCGGCCCTCGGCTTGTAGCTAAATTTTTTATTTGGCCCTCCGTCCATTTGACTTTGACACCCCTGATTTGAATGTTAAAAAAGTTTAAAGTCCATGAATACCTAACATTTACATTATAGTTTTCTATGCCTGCTGGATGGATCTATCTTCTCCTAAATATTTTATTAATCTGAAAACTGATCCTACAACTAAATTAAAAAATTATGAACACCCTCAGTCCATGATTCCTGGTTTCTTCATCAGTTTCAATGTCAAGGCAGAAGTGTAATAACAGTAATTCACACACTTGAATTTCAGGCTCCAAATTTGTCAAGCCCAGTGCTAACACTATATCTTCACAAGCAGCTTGTGTTCATTATTCCTACAGTTTTGTTAAATTGCAGATTTTTTTTGAAGAGTGCACTTGATGATAGTTTATCAAACCAGGAATCCATAAGCCATTTTTTATCCATGTGCAGCAACTAGAGTGTAAAATGTAGGCAAACTTAATAAAGAAACACCTGTATACCAGCTTTAAAAAAAAAAAAAAAAAAAAAAAAAAAAAAAAAACATAAAACAAATAGTCAGATCACTTAAAGTCACAAAACCAGATAGGGCCTTGTATGAGAGTACTGGTAAAGTAAATAAATCTCAAATCTATTGCATTATCAGATTGATATGTATTAGGTCAATAGATTAGTTTGACAAGGAGATGAGAGAAACAACGCCTAAATATAGACACTTAGCTAAAGGCCACTTTAAAACCAAACCACACTTCCTTAAAATGTTAAATACTGTAGTGATACAAGAAGTTCATGCTAAAAGGTCACCTACTAATTGTTGAATTCATAAACTGAATAGTATAGGTTTAACCTGTAGCTGCACAGTAGTCTATTAGTTTTTAGTGTCTATTTAGTTTTATTATATGTTTAAGAAGTACTATTTCTATCTCTTCTAATTATTTATGTCGTCATGTCAGGACTAGTCTGAGTAGTTTAATATACTGTATGGGATTTCAGGTATAAATGTTATTTTCTTGAAAATGTCTCATGTAATAACTTCTGTTCTTTTAAAAAACTTTTATAAAATTGCATAAATTCAGTGTTTTAATTTTACTATCTACAGTGAATACAGCCTTACAATGAATGCACCATAAAGTTTCCAGAGCCCTATTTTTATCCATATTTGGATTTATTCTTTCCAAAAGCAATCATTGCTCCAGTTGCAGAAGCAGATCAGTCATGGAAAGTGAGATTTACTCAGCCTGGGAAAAATCAGCATGAAAGAAGTGATAGTTGTGTCTACAGTCCTGGAGGCGTTTCAATTTAGACTCCAGTCATTTCATGTTTAACCAAACCAAAGCAGAACAGATTCAGTCTGAATCATTACTTTTTGCTTTCTACTGGTCCAAAAACATCACTATAACCCCCAAGGAATGAACATTCACTACACCTCTCTGCAGCATCAAACAACTACCTGAAAGCTAGTTTTGTGGATTTCTGTGAGCGTGTGATTCAGTGCAAGAGTACTAGTGATGTCTTTTGTTGTGTTCTAGAGTCCCCTAACAACAAAGTCTAAATTTGTCTTTAAAGTTGGACTAAGGGATTGTAGTAAACATAGCTAATATATTTTAATAAAAGATGTATTAAAACTCCAGGTATGTGAAATTGAAATACTTTTTAAGGAAGGTCATAAAAAAAAAATGTGTGTATATATATATATATATATATATATATATATATATATATATATATATATATATATATATATATATATATAAATATACACACTATATGACTATATACATATGTATATTTACATTTTTGTGTTCTCACTGGGCAAAACTATGAAACACTAAAAGGCAAAAAACTGCCTTTTTTTGTAAGGAAATTGTTTGGGTTTTAAACATTGCAAGATAGACTACTAAATTATTCAGCTTCTCTCTTACTCTAGCTACTACAATATTCTTTATTGTGTATTATAAAAACCGTGTACTTAAAAAGGTATGGTTTAAAACAAGAAGGATTTCAAGATGCCATTAAAGTTTTTGAACATTATCAGTTAAAAAACTTTTGTTTACAATTATTAAATATAGGTTGTATAACATTAGTTCATTTAAACACGAATAAATGTTAGGAAATGGTATATGAATAATGTTTTGCATTCATCCATCCATTTTCCATCACGCTGGTGTCTGTTTGCGGCTGTGAGAGGCAGGGTTCACCCTGGACAGGTCGCCAGTCCATCACAGGGCAACTCAGAGACAAACAGGACAAACAACTATTCACACACTAACTCACACCTAAGGAGAATTTAGAGAAGCCAATTTACCTAACAGTCATGTTTTTGGACTGTGGAAGGAAGCCGGAGTACCTGGAGAAAACCCACGCATGCTCAGGAAAAGATGCAAATTCCATGCAGAAAGACTTTAGAACACTAAATGAGCCATTTAGTACATTTGGCGTATTTAGGACCTTATACAGTACACCTTAAGCCCTGGTGATATTTTTTTAACTGTGTCAATATGAACAAATCGCTTTTTGGGGAAGGTTATTGTTTTATGGTTACTTCACTTCTTTCTCTTTTTAAAAGTTTAGATTTGACACTTAATTCAATCCCCAAATTTACTTTTAATTTTTATGTTGCATTTTAATTGTTTAATATCTCCAAATGACTCAAAGTTCTTTTGAATATTCCTAATGTGTAAAGAAGTATTCCTGGCTGGGATAAAACATTTTTATGCCTAAATACTTCAGATCAGATGTTTATGAAAAACACCTTCAATCCAAATTTATTTCTACATTAAAATAACTTTTTTATTAACAAGGAAAAATAAATCGTACACATGTATCTTATTTTTTTTTTGTCTTGGCTTTGGAACAATGAACCAGCTCTTCATCCTCTGCAGGGTGCTTGAGGCTTAATGGGAATTTGCCCAAACAGCTTACATGTACTCTCTCGACTTGGAGAAGGCTTTCCACTAGGTTCCTTGTCATACTTTGTGGGGGTTGCTTTAGGAGTACGGAGTCAGCCCTCTACTAGGCTAGCCACTCTTTGTACAAGCGGAGCAGGAGCCAGGTGGGCATTGGACAAGTTGGACCTGTTCCCGTGGCATGATGGATTCTGCCAGGGCTGTCCTTTGTCACCGGTCCTTTTCATAACCTTTATGGATATGAGTCTAGACATAGCCAAGGACCAGAGGGGGCCTGGTTAAAGGATCAGTGGATCACATCCCTGCTTTTTGTGGATGACATGGTTCTGCTGGCTTCCTTATTCCAGGACCTACAGCATGCACTGGGGCGGTTTATAGTTGAGTATGAACCACCTGCATTGGAAAGCACCTCCTCCATGTCAGAGGTCCTGGTTTTCAACTTGAAAAGGCTGGCTTGTTCCCTTTAGGTAAATTCCTCCTTGAGAGAAGGAGTTTAAGTATCTTGGTCCCGTTTATGAGTGAGGAGAGAATGCTGATGCTATACCGGTCTGTCGTGGTTAAGATGGAGATGAGCAAAAAGGCACAGCTCTTGATTAACCCGTCAGCCTATGTTTCTACCCTCACCTATGGTTATAACATCGGGATCATGACTAAAATACTGAGATTCTGGATACAATTTGCTGAAATAAGCTTTCTCTGCAGGGAGGCTGGCTCTCCCTTAGAGAAAGGGTGAAGACTTGGTTCATTCGGGTGGGGTTAGAGTAGAGCTGCTTCTCCTCCACATCTAAGGAAGTCAGCTGAGGTGGCTTGTACATCTTTTTTGGATGCCCCCGGGACACCTCCTTTGCTAGGTGTACCAGGCACCTCCCACCGGAAGATGGCTTCCTTGGGTTCCCCCAGTAGAGCTAGAGGAGGTGTCTGCCGAGATCTCTCGGAGTCTCTACTGCTGCTTCCGCGACATTGTACCGGATGAACCAGTATACAACAACATGTACCTTATCTGCTAACCTTTTTCTTGTTTTTATTTTTCCCTTTAGGCTCTGCTCTACAGCGTCACTGGCTATTGTTCCAACTCCTGATGCAGGTGTGGCTGGCCGCAAATCCATCCCTGAGTGACCGCCACTGCCCTAAGAGTTGTCGCTGTGATGGAAAAATTGTTTACTGTGAGTCAAGCGCCTTTCGTGATGTCCCCAAGAACCTCTCAGGAGGATGTGAGGGCCTGTCATTACGGTATAACAGTCTCTCCAGTCTTCGTGCAGGCCAGTTTGTTGGCCTCAACCACCTTATCTGGCTCTACTTGGACCATAATTACATTGCCTCTGTGGATGCAATGGCTTTCCAGGGGGTCCGCAGGCTTAAAGAACTAATTCTTAGTTCCAACAAGATCACATCGCTCCACAATACAACATTTCATCCTGTTCCTAATCTGCGGAATTTGGACTTGTCATACAATAAATTACAAGTATTGCAACCAGGGCAATTCCAAGGTTTACGGAAGCTTCTCAGCCTTCACATACGGTCTAATTCCCTAAAAACTCTGCCAATGCGTCTCTTTCAAGATTGCAGAAATCTTGAATTCCTTGATCTTGGTTACAACCGCCTGCGGAGTATCACTCGTAATGCACTTTCTGGCCTCGTCAAACTCACTGAGTTGCATCTGGAGCACAATCAGTTCTCCAAGATCAATTTCTCCCATTTTCCTAGACTCTACAATCTACGGGCTCTTTACCTGCAGTGGAATCGCATTCGGTCAATGAGCCAGGGCCTTACTTGGACCTGGGCCTCTGTCCAGAAACTGGATTTATCCGGAAATGAACTTACAGAAGTTGATCCTGTTGTTTACCAATGCTTACCGAACCTGCAATCTCTCAACCTGGACTCTAATAAGCTAACCAATGTTTCTCAGGAGGTTGTTGATGCTTGGATCTCCCTTACCATGATTAGTTTAGCAGGAAATGTTTGGGACTGTAGCCCTGCCATCTGTCCTCTGGTAGCTTGGCTCAGAAACTTTAGAGGGGCAAAAGAGACAACAATGATTTGTGCCTCTCCAAAGAAAGCCCAGGGAGAGAAAGTGATGGATGCAGTAGAAGCCTTTGGAGTTTGTCAATCAATTCAAGGGACAACACTCACAATGAGTGTTACTCCAAACCTATCCAGTGTCCCCATGCAGACAGAGCATAACCCATCTATTCTGGCTTTACCAACTAATTCTGGAAAGAGAGCTGATGGATCTCCTTGGGGTCCTACATCATTAGCAGTTACCCCACCTGTTGCACTTCCTCCAGAGCAAGACCTGGAGCCCGTATCATTCCATAAGATTGTGGCTGGAAGTGTTGCCCTGTTTCTGTCTGTTGCAATGATCCTGTTGGTAATATATGTGTCTTGGAAGCGCTACCCTAACAGCGTCAAACAGCTCCAGGAGCACTCTGCAGCAGCACGTAAGCGTCGCAAGAAACCTCGAGAGACAGAGCGCACACTTAGCTCCCCTCTGCAGGAGTACTATGTGGACTACAAGCCCAACAATTCTGAGGCCATGGATGTTCTGGTCAATGGTACAGGACCATGCACGTACACCATCTCAGGCTCCCGGGAATGCGAGGTATGACCTACACTATAATCCACAATAAAGAAGTTATTACAGGCAAATTACAAATGGAAAGAAATGACTTCTTGTATTTAGCTGGGTCTGTGAAAATTTTCCTCAAATCTATCTTTGGAGGCCATATTTGTTTTATTACAGATTTGAAAGAAATATTGATAAATTGCATTTTTTTTCAGAACTATATATGCTTAAGATTATGCTATTTTAAGTTGGTTTTGTTTCCTTGTATAGAGCTCACAAGCTGGTAGTCTGAGTTTGAATGCTTTTAAATAATAAGAATACATAAATACATTTTTTTGACACTAGGGACTTTTGTTTGAAAGTGAGCTGTCACAACAACAGGTTGAGAGAGGGAGGAGGAGACATTCAGCAAGAGTCAATTGGTCAGGAATCAAACCCATGACGACCAAGGACTTATGGGTTAAACCCCTGTGCCACTGCTGCACCCTGTTTTTAATAATTTTTTAAAAACCATGATTTTGATAAAAGCTAAAGTTTGGCATCCAGATGCTGGATGTGAATAACAGTGGAACCCTTTTTCTTCATATAATCGAGCTTCCTTGGAGAAAATGACTTCACACTTTTTCTTGACACAGCTATGACTCAAGATTGTTGAAAAGCTGTGCAGTCGCCCAACAGCATTGCCTGTTAGTGTCCCTTTCTTCTCTTTTATACTATAACTGTAGTTTCTCGCTTGTTTACCCACTTGCCTAATTGATAAGTCATGCATAAACTGAAATGAATACATTCTCTGGCCGTTGACACTTTATTTGCATTGATGAAGGTAAAGGAAAGATCATTTGTCACACATAGACAGAAACAGTCTTTGATAGTCCTTAAAGGGATGGGGATCCTTTGAAATGTTTTACGCACGCAGGCAAGTGAATTTCTTCAAAAAAAAGTATTTACACACCACATCAGTGCTGGAATAACACATGTCTATGCTTGCTTTCACTTATCCTTCTCTGGTGTATTTCACGTGCAGTAAAAGCATATTTTTTGTTCCAAAAAATGTACTTATGTTCTCCAGGTTACACATTGTTTTGTCACACAGTCACATTAGTATTGTGATTGTTGTACCCTTAACTGATTTAGCCTTTCCTGTTTTATTTTTGCATTCTATAATTTTGTTTAATCAGATGTGATGAAACGGGCAGATGTATAAAAAATGAGGAGAAATTTCAACCCCCAGAGTAATATTTACAGACAGACTTTTTAGAACTTAAGAGGGCAATTAATTTCCTTCTCTGATTTAAACTATGGTGTAAATTTAACTGTCTGGCTTTACCACATCTTCTCTTTTGTAGACATTCTTGAAAATACATCTTGTCCTGCCTTATCTGTCCTTCTCTCTCACCTTAAAAAAATGGTGGGATGGTAAGACAGGAGCTATCCATCAGCGGTCCGCAAACTCCTGAGTTCATCTCAGAATGTGCTCTGATCTTGTTTCTACATTTTGTTGCCATAGCAGAGACATAAATCACTGGACAGAACATGGCAGCGCTTGCAGCACTCTGTCCACCTTGCAGCTTCACTTCCACTTCTCAGACTTAGGGACATATCAGCAGATGTTCATTTATCCCTGAGCGGGAATCCCTTATTCCCCTGTTATCAGTTTTACAATTTTTTTATCCATCTGGATTTTGTGCCACAGTATAGAGAAACCTCTTCATGTTATTGTCTTTCCTTTCTCAATTCCACTTGCCTCTCTGTTTGACAACCCTTTTAGAGAAATATCTGACAATAGAGATATCCTCATTTTCCTTTCTCACCCTAATCAGAGCATAACCCACATCATGTCATTTGGATCTTCCTTTGATCTTTTTCATTGTAGATTCACTCCTAAGGGGCATCATGGACCTCACCTGATTAAATGTTTGATGTCACTTTTTTATGTGTCAGAACATCATCGTGTGCCTGTTGGCGCTTCGTTTTTGAATGCATTGTGTAATCTGGCAACCCGATGTCATAGCGTATGCAGTGTTGTCGCTGTATCTACATTTTTTCCTGCCCATAAGTTTTTTGAAATAGCAGTATTTTAAGCAAATTACTCCTTATTTGTTGTTTTAACGAAACTGAATTATGATTCTTTAAAGTGAAATAAAAAGTGGCAATAGTTAATATATAGAACATAGAATTTGCTTTCTTTTTTATAAAGCTTCGGTGCTCATCTTATACTCTTTATTTTAGCTTTTCTGGTTAGATATATAGGAGGAGCAGGTAGCAGAAGAAAGCAAAAGAAAATTAATTTTTCTGCCGCTTAAATTTGTTGAAATGTTTATAACTTTCCTGTGTTACATTTTTCTCATATGATTGCAATTTTTTAAGTAGAGTTTTTAGCAATTAATTTATCAATTTTATTATTTTTGCATTTATTATTATTTTTTTATTTTTTCTATGTAAAGAATAATTTGGTTCTATGCCATGCCACTATGTCAGTCATTGTAATCCTTCCTCTTCAAAGGAAGTTCTTTAATGCCCTCTTTCACTTTCTGATAGATTTCTGTTTACTCTTTAGCATCTTTTGATGATACTGCTGCAGAACTTTTAACCCCATTTAACCACAACTGCTTTTTTTTGTTTTTTTATGGAAGGAAAAATTGTTAAGTATCAAAGACTAATAAAGGTGTAAGTTCAGAGCGCTGGAAGTGACCAATTCGAGAACTGTTTTTGACATGATAAGTGAAAAAGCAAGAAGACAAAGAACATCCACTTTTTGGACTAGATGATTTTCCTATACACCATGTTCATACATAGAACTACTTGAATTAATGCCATGGTTTCCTGTTATTCACATGGTATCCCATAAACTGTACCAAACCAAGATATAAACCAGAGTAAACGATTAGCAGTTGGTACAATGAATAAATGAATGGATGAATGAATGCTGTTTTCTGTCATATTTGCTGTGCTAATTATACCTTTCTAATTCCCTATTTCTCCAGGATGAATAAGATGGAGTGACTCATGAAAAAAGGAGAAACAAAATCCAAACTATAGACCTTTGGCAAAGTTACTTTTGTTATTTTGAAAAACTTTATTTTGCTGATTATATATACATCCTGGTAAATAATGTAATTTGGATATATGCCTCTGTTCTTCATCTGAGGGAAAATAATGCAAATACAGACAATATGAAAATATTCTTTTACAAAATTCTTGGAATATGTTTGCAACCATAATTGGAAATGGCACTCTAACAGGATAAAAAAATAACAACGTAAAACCCTCTTTACACCATTTACAAAATAACCTTATCTGTTGCTTTGGCCCTATAATTTTTAATTTCCGAAGCATAAAAAAATTAAAATAAAATTCACACATCCCCAGGTAAAATAAAAATACGTCATTTAAAGTAAAAAAAACAAATGATAAACTCCTGACTCTATTATAATGTTTTTCTTATACGGTATTTACACAATAACTTAAGTGTTTTCACAGAAATCCTATTATGCTTATTTGCCGTGCATCTTCTCTGAATTCATTGCCATGAATAATAAATAATGTTTTTCTTTCTTGAGGCTTGAATGCCTCTACCTTCTCTTTCAATACATTGTGGGGGGGGGGGGGGGGGGGGGGGGTTTCTTTATGTAATACAGGATATAAAAATTAGTTATACCATTATTTATTTTCCTAAAAGAGACAGAGACTTATTTGATGTTAACCAAATTAGAATGTCAAAAATGTTTAACATCCATCTCAATATGAATAGAAAAGCGTTCGCTGCCATACAATACACCTTATAACTGACAACAATTTAAACTATTTTAAATGTGCTGCTCAGACAATTCCCTAAGGCATTCCAGCCAGCCTAAGCTCCCTCCAGATTTTTTTTTATTTAGTCGGGAAGCCAACTAGGTTATGTAAGTTTTATACCTAGTTAGAAGAAAACCTGCTGATAAAATTAAAGTACTTCAAATCCTATTCTATAATAGGTTACCTACTACAATTTTAAACCTTAATGCATTAGAAATTACCAAAGATGTCTATACAAACTTGTAAACAATGCATAAAAGGTTTTCCTTTGATTTCTTCTACAAATATTGTGTCAGATTATTGACAACCCCAAATCAAAACAAACAGAGGGAATCTGGCGGAAGACAAAAATGTATCTTTAATTCAGTGAAGAGGTTAAACTTGAACATGCTAGTGTCGACCATTCAACAAGTCTTTAAACACGCACCGTACAGACTGTGGGAAGACATCTCTCTTATCCCCTAATCCTGTCTGTTTCACACTTTCATTCCATGCTGCTGCTTTCTACACTGCTGTTTGATCCATGCTTAATGAGGGTGGAAGATCACTAATACAGCAATTACAGTACATTACCTGGAGAAGAGGCTAAAGTAATTCCTTTTCTGCATGTCATTCTATAGTGCAACCAAGGCATATTGTTGAATGTTAGCTTTGTAAGTTACACAATCCCTATTTTTTTATGGCTAGTGATTCTCTCCACAAACTTGTTGCATTTTTATATTTTTTTAATAGTGATTGTTGTCCTTTTTTGTTTCCTGATATTGTTAGCTGATTAAGTGCTGCACTTCTAAAGCCTTTTATATATTGATAAGGACAGTAGTTTAACATATTATACAAGCATATAAGCAGATAATTTAACACCCTTTGAGAGTGAGTAAGATGTGACGTACATTATCACACTTGAGCCACACCTCACATATGCACAAATGCAGCAATTAAAACCATATAATGACATTTATAGCCACCCATTCTTTTTAGCACCAATGCACAAAAGATTCTTATTTCCACTGGATATATATATATATATATATATATATATATATATATATATATATATATATATATATATATATATATATATATATATACATATATATGCTTTTCATTAGAAGTATTTTTATGTTCTTAACAGTACATCTAGATCTAATATTTTTTTTATTACAGCTTTAGGAAATCCTTTGTTGCATTTTAAAAGTAACCAAGCACTACGCTGGATTATTGTTTATGTTAACCTAAGGCAA